AGGACCATGGAGACGGAGCTGGATGAGGCGTGCCACTGTTGATGCCACTGTGTCTAAGAAAAAGAGGATGTGACGTCGTGAGGTTTTGGGAGAGGGAGAGAGAGAGAGAGAGAGAGAGAGGAAGAGAGGGGGAGAGGGAGAGTGTTTTGCACATTTCTTGTCCCATGACACATCTCTTGAAGCCTCCCGCCATTTCCTGTTCACGCAGTGGAGCTGTATATACATGTACAGTAGTTTTGTCCAGGGCGTGTCCTTTTAAATGTAACAGTCGGTAAGCATATATGATCGTTATTTCTGAGAAAGGCCTTTACAAATCATGATCATCCTCTAAACCTTTCTGAAACCAGTCGAGGTGGCTGATGATCTTCAGACAGAGTTGGAGAGGTTGGTGGATGAATTTCAGGAGGAGGACAGGGACTTGACAGGGCATCAAAGGCTCTAATGTCTTTGTGGTACATCATTCAAGTTTAGACAAAACTCTCTATCACGGATCTATCGCCATCAGGAAGCAAAGGATCCTGATGGTCTGGCCTTAACAACAAGCTTGATTTGATATCATCAGGTTTTATGTGCCATGTGAAGTGGTCAAGGCTTGGCTTTTTCTCTTTCGTCTTGGCCCTAGCGGCTCTGATCGGAAGAGTGTTTTCAGCTTGACCTTGAGGATGACTTGGAGAAGGAGCTGGACAGAAGCATGGAAGAGCTGGATAGAAGAGACGCGAGAGAAGCCAATCTACACACTCCAGCTAAAGAGGTCTGCACTAGTTGGTCCTGTGGAAAACATCGGCATACATGTGTGGTTGTCATGCAGGCGCAGGTGAAGGAGAAGCCCAGCCCGAAAACAGCAGAGAAAAGTCCTCAAAAGGCGAGCAATTCTTCATGGTCAAGCTGTATGTGTGTTATTGAGCTGTGAGTTCTTCGAGACTTGTATAGGTGCCATCTATAGGAGGTCCTGGTTGAAGGGCTTGGGGAACTTGAGTAGAGAAAAGCTCCTCCAACCCCCACAGGCATCCGAGAGAGGAAGTTCTGTGACATACTGAGCAAACAACCTGATGGGAGTCAGCTTCATCGTAGAATCCAGCGAGTTTCAATCGCAAGCCCGCATGCTTTCAGCCTTCAAGCTCTAGTGAAGTCAATTCCACATGACTTGGACTCGGTTCGACGTTTGGTTGGCTCGAATTCCAGGATGACTTTGTCGATGAAAGCCGTCGAGTGCCCAGCAGAGAGCAGACCAAGGAAATTCATGCCTTGTCGCTTTGGCAGCTCAAGCGAGGCTTCATGGAAGATCAGAATGGCCAGCGCCTCTACAAGTGGAAGGCGTGGGACTTCGTGGAATCCGAGACTTCTTCATGTCCAGCAAGGACGCTACTAGGGGCTCCTGGCATCGCTACTAGGAGCAAGAAAGCTACTAGGGGCTCCTGGCCTTACTACTAGGAGCAAGAACGCTACTAGGGGCTCCTGGCGGTTTGTTGCCCAGGTCGATTATGCCACCCGTGGTGGCGGAGGCCGTGCCATGTCCGGGGCCCAACGCTGGAGCAGGCCTTCAGTGCTAGGGTAGTCTGCCCACAGTTCCCAAGCTCTTTTAAAGAAAATCAGTCTTCAAATATCTTCAACATATCGTGTCTTTTCAGCCTCGTGCTTTGAAGCGGCCCCACCAACGCTGATGCAAGGTGCCGAGAAAGGGATTGCCTTGAAAGGGGTGACCAGGCTGCTCAGCGCAGCTTTGAACGAGCTCTAGAATCTTTTGCACTTTGTAGGAACGGTATGAGAAACTAAAGCATTCTACGGCGAAAGCCTTGAGCACAATGCCACAATGCTCTTGATGCGTTTCACTTTCTTGGCACTGGACACAGGCCGGCGTGTCCTCGATTGAGAAGGGTGCCTTGCGCATCGGTCGGCGGTTCCTGAATGTGAATCAGGCGCAAAGAGAGGGATTTTGGGAGCTTACTCAGTTGGCACACAGAAAGGAGGTGCTAGTGAGCAAGGACAAACAGCGTTTCCAAAGTGCCTGCAGACTTTCTGAGTTTTCACCTCGCAGGGTGAAGTTCAGATTCTTTGGCGACTCACTCAGTCTTTTGGACCGGAGTTCACAAGGACGAGAGCAGGACTTGCAATTACTAGGTATTGGACGGAGCGCCGTACCATATTCAGCTTCCACGGACAAAATGCTTACTGAAATGATTGAGAGCCTAAAACAGCAAAGAGAGATTTGAGCCTCCATGACAGTCTGGACATTTCCAGTGCAGGGGCTCCAGTGCGCACTCATAGGAAGACTTTAGTCTTCAGACACACACACACAGACAGAGCTTTGATCTTTCATTTGAAGAAGCTCTGAGCCGAGAAGCAGAATTGGACATTTGCAAGATCAGCCTGATTACTCTAGATCTACACTTCCGCCGGCAGAGGGTGCCCAGCGGTGCCCACCATGATGTGCTTCCATGGAGGGACAGATCAGCTCCGAAGATCACTTCACACAGTTCACCTACACCTCCCCACCACAGAAGATTGCCTGCGGCATCAACCACAGTGCCTAGATTTCTTCAGGTTCTCATTTGTTCAATAGAATATTGAATTTAGATCAAACAATCACCACCCAGTAGTGTAAATTCCCGTCTGGATTCTGCATTTTGCAAAGTTCCATCCAAGCTTGAGGTATTTGTGTCTCCAATTTGTCTACTCCATCCTCGTACATCACCGACCACACGGCGCCTCCTGTCTTCGGATGGGGTCGCAACGTCTACAACATTTGTGGCTTCGGGGAACAGGTCCACCAAGCCAGCATCCCAACGAGAATTGAGTGCCACGACTTTGCCAAAGGCTCCGGGATTTATGAAGCTCGGCTTGTGTTTTACTCCAAAAGACTCTTTAAGAGTCACCTCTTTTTTGTACCAGGAGCAAGGACGCTACTAGGGGCTCCTGGCCTTACTACTAGGAACAAGAAGCTACTAGGAGCAAAGGGCATCGCTAGTAGGAGCAAGAGCGCTAGTGTGTTGTTCCTCTGTGATCCTTCACGATTCTTGTACCTTTTGGCCACAATGCTGTCTTGGAGCCACAGACGGATTCAGCTCAAGGGTGGGACATGCTTCACCGTCACCTGCTTCCAAGGAGGTCTCCTGCGGGAACAACCACAGTCTTTTCCTGCGGAAGCACCGCCACAGTCCGGGAGGCGATGTGTTAGGCTTGGGTCTTGGGAACCGTGGCCGGCAGGGCTCCCCGAACCCCAATGCTGACGATGATGATACGCCTGAGGTGGAGGAGCGGGCGACAAAGAGACATTGGAGGACATAGACTGTCTCAAAAGTTCAGAAGGACATACCATCATCATGAACCATCATATAGTGTGAGCAATCGCCCACACCAGGCTAAGTGAAGATTGTCAAGCACCTTGAACGACATCACCTCTCAATCCTCCTAGTGGAGCTGTGAACAGACAGAGTTGACCGTCTTAAGCCTCACAAGAGCTGGAACCATCTGAGAAAGCAAGAGGCTCTCCTCAATAGCCTAGTGTTTCATGTCCCAGACAAGTCGTTTCACCCTTACTATCAAATCATCGAAAATGGATGTAACATTGATGCCCTCACCGGCGCTGGAGGACATTTGGTTTGTGGAAAGCCCCACAAAGGTTCCGATCACCGATGTTCCCATTGCCCGGGTGGTTTGCGGAGCTGATCATAGCCTTGCACTGGACTTGAATGGTATCCTTTATGCTTGGGGGATGAACAACGATGGTCAATGCGGAGTTGGGCGGCGAAGCGACGTGCTAGTTCCTGAACGAGTTGTTTTGCCACAGCAGAAAAGCGGGCAGGCTGGGATGCAAGGAGTTTCAAACCACTAGTCACTGGTCGATTGGACTGTCTGTGGCATACTGCATTACTTTACTTTACATTGAGTTGGTCTTTGTCAAAGTCCCACCCAGTCAGATGTTTAGTTCTTGGAGTTGTGTATTTTCCCTCGAGGTGCTAGTGGCCCACATGGCAGGCGGAGGTAGGCATTCCATGCTGGTGACCGCCAAGGAGCACACTTTCAAACAGTTCTTCATTCCAAAACTGTAAGTCTGATTCCGATGGCAAATCCTCCAGTCGTATCAGCTCAGTCAGGACGGCAGCATGGGAAGCACCTCCGGTGGCAAGGTCTATGTATGGGGCTGCAACTCAGATGGACGCCTAGGCTTGGGCCATGACCGGAACGAGCTGGTCCCGGTCTTGGCCACCTGGCAAGATTTCCTTTTGAGGTTGGGAAACCTCATGATCTCACAAGCAAATGGTAAAATTAGCATGTAGCAGATATGCAGATGTCGGATGTTGTTTTTGTTTTTTTTTCAACCTTTGCGGTCTTTCTCACTGAAATTGCTTTACTTGTGGGGTGAGTCTTGGAGTCTTGCAATGCATGGGATTCAGGTGGAATCAGTCCAAAATACCAAGATGTCCTTGGTGGCTGCTGGGGAAGTTCACAGTGGTGCAGTGGACGTCAAAGGCACTCTGACACAGAAATGAGAATAGTACATGGATGTACATGGTCTAAATCAAATCGAGAGATGTGTGGGGGCAGCACCAGCTTGGTGGGGGAATCACTCGTCGCAGATGTCGCGCTGAGTGCCAAGGATCTTTGTACATGTGGGGTCTCGGCGCTTATGGCCGCTTGGGCTTGGGAGAGGTGATGGATGTGCCACTGCCAAGGAGGACGCACAAGCGTGGTCAGCTTTCCTTCTTCTAGACGTTCTTATTACTAGGAGCAAGGACGGTACTAGGGGCTCCTGGCATCGCTACTAGGAGCAAGGACGCTACTAGACGTTCTTAAGACACTCTTGTTGCTTTGAGGGCGAAAGGACACGATTTCTCGGCTTCCAGGATACAGATTCCGGATGAGGCTCCGGTCTCCCAACTGGCTTTGGGGATTTTCCACAGCGTCGCTTTAGCGGGAAACCGAATCCAATCTGTCTATACCTGGGGCCTCTAGACTGCAGCAGGCAGCAGACAGATCTTTTTTCACAACATGTTCACACAGTCTAGGGGCTGGGGGTATTCTAAATCGGCCCATGACAAATGCTGACACACAAGCAAGGTGGTGAAAACAGGGATTTACCTGACATGAGCTTTTTCTGCTAGCAGAGAATGCCAAAGCATTTGGATCATTCTAGAGTTTTCGGAGAACCTAGAGGTTTGATCCTTTTTCTCTGAAAATTGCCCGAGGCTATGGCGAAGCCTTAGGGAACCAGGTTGGCGGTGGGATTTCCTTATCTCCCCGTGTTGTCTCCTTCGGTGACGACACCAAAACACAGGCGAGAACTGGAAGGGACTGGGTTGACTTGCTTGTGCTAAAGCTTGAACAAGTGTTTTGCCTAGTGTGCTCTTGTCGTTTTGCAGTATTGGCCCTAGATTTCACTCAAGAATTTGATCTGGATTTTGGCTAACCCAGGTGCTCCAGATTGCTGCTGGGCCGTACCACACTTTGGCGCCTAGCTTGCAATGGAGGTTCAGTTTGCCCATAGTTTCGGAGTGGTCTGACTACTGCAAACAGACACTTCAAGGGCCTGATTTGCGGAAGGTGTTGATGGAAAATGGGGAGCTCATGACCTTTGGTTCTGGGGCCAGCGGAAGGCTAGGAACAGGCAGGGCTGGCAGCGAATCCGTTTCTGGATAATCTGGACCTTGAGACGTGCTGATTTTGGCAATGAGTCAAGAGTTTCGTTGATATCTCATGATCGCAAGTCACATGAATCATTGCTTGACATATTCAATTTGGTTGCCATTCAGCAGAGCAATGTAAAGTTAAAGCTCTAGTGACTCTAGTGTGCCATACTCTGCAAGTTTCTCTGATTGTTTTCGTCCTTTCCTCTGAGCCGGGTTCAGGCAATAGCAAAAACCATAAGTTGCCCGTGAGCCTCGGATCGCACGGCTTTGCCACGAAGCTGAAGCAAGTCTCGGAAGAAGGGGAGAAGGCTCCGACGCAAAAGAGGAGACTGGACACGTTTTTGGCCAGGAAGAGTGGAGGGAAATATCATCAAACTCTTGTAGCATTGGGATTAATTAGGACATACACTGTCACTGAAGGTAGCCAGGGGCCGAGAGCTTACAAGCCATCTCACATCTCATCAATACCTACATACGCTTCCAAGGTCTTTTGATCTGAAGGGTTGCAGTCATATTGATAGTCGAGAGCCCTCGAGCCGAAGCAAAGCTGAATCCAAGTCGCGGGTTGCTTTGGGTCCATAACTGCCATAGCTCGGACATTTTTCTGATGTATCCCTACCCGATGCCTGTAGGAGCTTGGAACATCCCTCAGAGAGATCCTTGAAACGCTCGCCCGCTGGCACCAGCGCGCCGGGCGGCGGTCGGCAGAGCTGGGAGATTGCACGCTTAGAATGTGCCCTGTCAGCGAAATTGTTTGGACGTCCGAAATTAATGCAGTCGTCGTCCAAATTTGATCTGGAGTTCAGTGAGCAAGAATTGTCCTGTATCATTGAGTAGAAGCAGAGAAAGATTTAGTACTAGTGACAAGGGCATCGCTACTAGTAACAAGGGCATTACTACATATTACTACTAGTAGCTAGAAGCCATTAGTAACCGGTCCTGACACCGTGAGTGCCCAGAGGTGGTGACATGTTCACCTGTGCCGTGACATGGCACGGGGCCCTTTACACTTGGGGTTGTGGTGCCCGTGGACAGTTGGGCACAGGCTCGCTTCAGGAGACCGAGACGGGACGGCGAATGAAGTCATCGGGAAAGACAGTTCCACTCAGGTCCAAAGGAGCCCCGTTCGTAGCTTCTTGTTCCTAGTAGTAAGGCCAGGAGCCCCTAGTAGCCTCTTGTTCCTAAGAGGGATAGAAATAAAGGAGAACAAAGGAAGCTGAGAAAGAATATATCAAGAAAAGAAATAGAGCACCTGGGTCAAGGGGATTTCTCAGCACCGCCTGGCCATCACAGCTCAGTTGTTCCTTGGCAGGACAGTTGGGTACCAAAGGCAAGGGGTGGCATTGAGGGGGATGTGGAATGAAACTGCAAGTTTCAAGATTCCCAAAACTTGCTTCCGCACAGACATCGTGGCTTTCTTCAAAAAGGTCGTTAACCATATGCAATATTATTTCAAGACAGGCATTCTTTCTTGACTTTGGCAGGTGGTCCGAATGCCTTCTGGGCGTTTGGTGAAGTCAATTGGTTGTGGTCGTGATCACTGTATTGCGGTGACCTACGACGGGAATGCCTATGCTTGGGGGAAAGGTGACAAGGCCGGACAGACACAAGCTCCTGTTGCGAAGGTTATTGGAGTTGCAGTAGCATCCATGTGGCCTGAGAGCATGCAAGGGTTTGTGGCGACACCAGGCGATGCTTGTCCTTCGTATCCAATGATCCTGAGTCAGTACTTGTAAGAGTCCGGCATTGATTTCAGAGATGCTTCCTTGCCTCTGACGAGATTCGCAAAACAGTAACAATTAGTTTTTGGTAATATATATATATATAGCATATATCCTGATCCAGGGCCAGCTGGGCGTGGGCCGAAATGAAGACACTGCCACGCCCAAAGCAGTGCATATCCACAACGTTCTTTCCTGCGCTGCGGGTGAGGTGGGGCTGAAGGATTGCAAAGCACTCTTGTAAATGGATGGAGGTTCGCATCAGGTTCACTGTCGAGCCCAGTTTGTTGTCACATTCTTTGTCAATTTTGATTGCGTTGGATGTATTTATATTGCAATGTATTTGTTGCCACATGGGCGTTTGTGGGTCTGATGATCACCGGAGTGCCAAAAGTTTTCAACATCTCTTTTCTACAGCTGAATGAGCTGAACAGCGAGGACCACAGCGGCGCGATTTGCAGAGGAGAAGAGGACAACGAGCTGTGCTTTGTGCTGAATTTGGATGTTTTCCATGTTCATGGCACAGTGTCATAGGTTTTTGTGATTGCTTATGAACTTTGACGTTGGCCACATACAAGCAAAGTGTAGGCAGAGTTGTGATCAAACTGAAGTTTTGCCTTCTTCCGCTTTCGGGGTCCTTGCTTTAAGAAACCTGCCAACATCGTCTCTAATGCCTGTTCTATAGACATAAAGCACTTCTTAAAACAAGCAGGTTCCCAGAACCATGCTCCAAACATGTACTGTATTTTTTTTTCCGCGCTTCTCCTTCCTTCAGGTGGATGTGGGGCGCCACAGAGCTGGGCAAGTTGGGCCTGGGCGAAGCACAGCTCACCTCGGCGGACAGTGTGCCGGTGGCCATCCGGTCCTTAGCGAAGAGCGAGAACTCCTACAAGGTGGCAGTGGAGGTCGTGTTTTCTTGTTTAATGCCGATAGGGCAGGGGTAGCGTGGGCTAGCAAGTAGCGAACGTAGTAAGGGGTAGCTACTTACTACTGATCGGACCAGAAGGGCTCAGGCTTCTTCAAGGAAGCTCCCCCTGGCTGAGGGTGGGGAGGAGCTTCCTTAAAGAATCCTGAAGCCTTCATGGCTTAATGGTTTGGTTCGTAGTCTCTTTTTTTGGACACTTAACGTCCATGTTGGAGGTCTCGACTGGTGTAGCTTAAACTTTTTTGGTTTGCTATGGCTCTATGTGGCTCTACGGCTTTCTACGTTTCTAATTTCTAACTATTTTTTCCTTTTATTGCTCTTGTATAATAATATGTCATAATTTGATATGTCTATTTATTCGACATTTTTTTGCTTCATGTTCCGCCCGTTGGCAATGATCCAAGTCATCAAGTCATCATATCTATTTCTTCTGGCCATGGAGGTGCCAATCTCTTTGAGTTGTGGACAGTACCACACGGCAGTGATTTGTGCTCGTGAGAAGGATGACGAGAGCGACCGTGTAGCTGGGCGTCCCTTGGATGGTTTGTCAAGGTGGAGATGTGTTTGTTGTCTTAGTTGTTTGCTTGAAAGATGTTGGGAACTGTCAAGCCAGACCTCTTTTCAGCAGCTTTAGTTTCCTTTTGATCACTACGAGGAAGCGCTCCATGTCAGTACAACTTTTCTTCGCGGTCAGACACCGAAGGTTCTCCTATCTATTGTTTTAAAGTCGCCCTTAGCATCTAGGAACAAGAAGCTACTAGGGGCTCCTGGCCTTGATACTAGGAACAAGGACGCTACTAGTAAGCCACTGAGCTGGCCGCAACCCTCAGGGGTCTGGACGTTTGGCGCTGGTTGGTTTGGACGCCTTGGCCACAACAACATGGACGCTTGGACAAAGCTGCAAGTAGGTCAAGCTGTTTGAAGAGCTGTAGGATCTCCAGGCTCCAGTGTACATGCCCAAGCGGTAAGTACCTCTGGAAAGGACTTTGCGGAGTTTTTCAAGAGCAGAGTCAGCATGAAAATGCCCACTTCCCCACAACTTTCTGCTCAAAGCCGAGGAGAACCAGTACGAGCCCAAAATGGTCAGCAGTCTCGTGACCAGCATCCAGTCTGTACATTGTGGAGCCTACCACACCTGTTCCGGGTCGGCAGAAAGTTTGCTGCTTGCGACGCGATGCGTCTAGGTCTGTAGCTAAGACGGTCTCTCCTGACAGGTCTGACACACGCTGGAAAGGAACACTTGACTGAAACATACTGGGCCGGAGGGTCTCCGACAGCGTCTTCCTATTGGAGCTACGGACGAAGATGTTTGGAGTGATAAAGCTTATCCTGCTAGGTGCTCTGAGCTATGAGAGAGGCATGATGAATGACAACGGAGAGCTGACCGGCGATCTATGGGTTTGGGGTCGCAATCGATGTATTTGCGAACATGAGCATGCCAAGGCCCTAAACTTCTGCGGCGCACTGTTATCGCAATCTAAGCGCTGTTTGACTTACACAGTTGATCTCGAATCAATGTTCAAAGTTTGATGCTTTCACCCATTGGCCAGGTGCCGACAAAATTCATGCAGATTGATGGCCAACCAAAGGTGACATGTGTTGTGTGCACCTGAGCAATCCGAAAGCAAAGAAAGCAAATCCTTTTGGTGGGCAAAACATCCTGAGGCAACTTCAGACATGACCACCATGCTGGTGACTGCAGCAGGACAGGTGTTCCTTGCAAAATGCAGAGGAGACAATGATAACTCTTCCTCAAGAAGTGTAAAAGCTGTTGTTTGCCCGTCGCTGGTTCCGTTGTGTCGACCAGCTAGAAAGGTTCCTGAGGGCAACGGTAGGAATATAAGTTCGGGTGTTGACACTTGGCCAATGAGATCGTCGGTAAGGACTCGTCTATGCCTGGGGGGACAACCGCCATGGTCAGATCGGCTTGGAAGGTGGGAAGAAGGAGCCCGTGGTGTCGCGGGTAGACAGATGTCTCAAACTCTTTTGATTCGATGTCTATGGCAGACTTTGATAAATCCATGTGTTCTGCTCGCGGGGCTGCGTTGCTTTAGGCTGCCTTGAGGGCAGCTCGCTGGTGTACTTTCCTTGTATGCAGATTTGAGGTCCTGTATTTCGTCCCTCCCCTCGGTATGACCTGGTGACCTGGTGGGGGTCCTCCCCTGCTTGCAGGAGTCGCCTCAGCCCGAGATCATCCGGAATCTCCCACAGCCCCCAATCTTGATGTCGGCCGGGCCAGCGCACATGGTGGTCTACGCCAGGAACAAGGCCAGGTGGAAGAAAGTGGCGTTGAGGATACTAGTGACAAGAAGCTACCAGTCACAAGGGCATCGCTACTAGTAGCAAGTGAATTGCAACTAGTAACAAAGTGGCCCAGACTTATTGTGAGAGAACCTTTTGGAAACCAGCTTCGATAAAGACACAGGCTCTTGAACCGTCAATGTCAAGTGGGGCCAAGTAAATGGAAGAAGATATGGCCACTGTTGGCACTGGCTGGAAGCACAATTCAGCAAGGGCAGATCTCTTGTGTCTGAACAGCTTCAGATGCTATATGCAATTCAATTACTGTTGTCGATTCAGGTTTCAATCCGTGAGCTCAGCTCTTGGTGATGACAAATATATGCAGATACCTTGAAATACCAACCAAACTTGAGATTCATGGACGAATGGACAGTGATTGGCTTCAGGCCATGATGGCATGGGGCAACCAGAGCTGTGGACGCCTAGGATTGCAGGAGAAGCGGATGGAGAAGGCCATGTGGGGCTCGACTTGTTCAATTCGTGACTGTAAACCACAAGAAGCATTAGCAGGATTCTACAGCTTGTAACCTCGCTGGTGGCACATTTCGTCGGGCAGCCGTTCGCGAAGAGGTCCACAGGTATTCTCAGCTCCCAAACGTGGTTCTCCATGACAGTATTCTCCCATCACACAACCCTGAAGTGAACGAACTAAAAAACAACATGCTCTGTGGATGAACTTTCATCGAAGCTATGCCGCAAAGGTGATCTTCAAACCTTGCCTGGTGCGTGCAGAATGGGGCTCCATTGAAGCCATGAGTGGCGCAGATCAAGACGAAGAGGAAGCCAGTTCGGTTCCCAGTCCGGGCATCTGAATGTTTCCTGCGAAGACCTTGGACTTGTGATGGCTCATGAAGGTTGAAGAACAGAGCAGGGCTTATGAAGGTTGAAGAGCATTGTATGGAGAAATCATGTGCACAGAGATGAACCAAGGTGAAGCCCAGAAGGTTACTGCTGCAGCACTGGCTACCATCGGAGAGGCAAGGGGTTGAGACTTGAAGGGAAGAACATTCTTATCAGAACTTCCCGTGGCACAAGCCATGACCAGGGTGACTTGTTTGGGTGATTTCTCAGTGATTTTGATGGATTTACCAGGTTGTGGTTTGGACAAATTTGGGGAGAGGTACATGAACCATTAACCAATCGGATGAAGGGCTCGAAACTGCTGCGCCTGCGCCTTCTTCAGGCTGCTGGGGAAGATGTAGCTGATGAAGAGGGCTTCTCTTCAGATGGCCAAGTGGATCAGGCTAGAAGCCAACATGATGTTAAAAGGCCTTGCAAACAGCTGCGAAGGTGGATTGGGTCCAGACATAAATCCAAATTAGAGCATGAATCTAGTGACTGGTGTGCTTTGGGCCTCTCCTTATTGAAGGACAGCGAGGAGGAAGACAAGACAAAAGAGAACATGCTGCATGCCATCACTTCAGGCTTGGTATCATTTATTTCTGCAGTCATTTTTTATGGAGTTATGTTCTATATAGTTGAAGTCTTTCCCTCCAAGTCACCACCCTGCAAGGCCAGAAGGTGCAACGCTTTTCGACGATGCAGCAGCTTGCCCTTGTATGGAAGTTGTGTTATTTTCCAGATGAGTGTGCTTTTCATTAAGGATGATGCTGAAAGAAGAACCCGAAAGCAACAAGATCAGTACCAGAGCTGCATTGGTCGATAGACATCCTTTGAAGCACCGGCACGTGCCTTCTTAAACTCAGATGGAATGATTCTGCTTTGTGCGAGAACCTGTGGCAAATGCCTTTGGACTCTTCAAACCTAGAATAGCATATGCATAACTAGGACGCTACTAGTAGCAAAGGGCATCGCTACTAGGAGCAAGGACGCTACTAGGGCCGTACTGCTAGGAGCAAGGACGCTACTAGGGGCTCCTGGCTGTACTACTAGGAGCAAGAAGGCCACTAGGGGCTCCTGGCCGTGCTACTAGGAGCAAGAAGCTACTAGGGGCTCCTGGCCTTACAGTACTACTAGGAGCAAGAAGCTACTAGGGCTACTAGGGGCTCCTGGCCTTACTACTAGGAGCAAGAAGCTACTAGGG